TGTAGCTATATTACTTATCTATAATTGATTGAGTACAAATTTCTGGGTTATTTTTGGTGAAAACAAGGTATGGGGCCTTGGTTTAGGAACAAATCCCCCATTTAAAACATTTTTTCCTATGGGAAAATCAGTTCCGAGTTGCAACGTTTCAACTTAAGATGCTGTTTTCAGGAACCGATTGTGTACTAAGTCTGAGGACTGCCTGTATTAGACTTTCTAGCTGGGAAATACTAGAAAATTGCTACCTGTTTCATTTATCAAAACTTAAAGTGTTATCTGATTAGACAGACAAAACTTTTACTCCCTTTCAGGCCAGACTAAAAACTCATTATCCATTCTATCATCAAGCATGGGTAGAACATTCAACTATCAACAGTGTTTTAAGCCAACTACTGCCCAAGTAATCAAAGAAGTATGGCTGCCCTGAGTAGAACTTAAAAGGTGTCCTCTCTCTCACAGCTGAAGCCAGAGCATGTTTCTCATATAAAAATTACATTAGAAAGAACTACAAATTTCTCCCATTTATTTCCTTTCCTTTCTTCTGCAACTCAGATGATCATTATTCTCCGACTTCCACTAGCTACATCAAACTAACTCAAGGGGGGCCCAACCTTTTCTCTAGCAGGCCAGATGGGAAGTGCCCAGTCCATCCAGTCTTCCCATTTCAGCTCCCAGAAGGGGGCAGGGGCAGCCCGGCCCCAATCCAGTGGAACAGGGAGAAGAGGATATGGCTCCACCCCAACCTGGCCCTGTTGGGGGGGCGGGGGAGGGACACAGCAAAAGGGGCATAGCCCAGCCCAGAACCAGCCTCAGGCGGAAGGGGATGCAGCTTGGCTCCAACCTGGCCCTGTGGTAGGTAAGGGGGAATGGCCCAGCCCTAAACTGGCAGTGCAGGGGGAAGGGGAGGTGAAGGGGCATGGCCCAGCCTCAAACCATCTACATTGGTGGGGAGGGAATCATGGCCCAGCTCCAAACCAGCCACAGGGGGGACTTGGAAATTTGGCAGCAGGGGAGGGTGACAGTAATGCCACCTGTTATCTCACCATCAAATTTCCAGACCCATGGGGACCCCCAGAGAATGAATGCCATGGCTCTACAGGCCAGAGGCTGAACACCCTTGAACTAGTTTAGTTTCTCATCTTCCTCCCACAGCATATAGCACTGGTTTGGTCAGGAATTTGTGAGATGAACAGAAACAAAGGATGCTTAACTGTCCTCTTCAAGTATCGCTACCTCAGCACACAAGCATTCCTTCTGCTTCTAAACCAGGAGGTTTCTTTTTCTTTTAATATCATCTATCTAGAACTTGAGGAAAGGAAGCTCTCAACTGAAAAAACAAACCAAGGGATGTATTAATTAAATCCCCCAAGTAAGATATTCTTTTCCAAGATATTTAAGTAAAGGAAGTGAAACAAAAGCAACCTTGGCAAATAACCTCAATTTCATGTCTCACCTCACGCAGCATCAATGAAAGGTACAGAGTAATCTGTATTCCCTGTATCCAATTGTCAGAAGTTAGTGGGCCAACATAGTAAATGACATTTAATAAGTTAAAAGTGCCATTTAAATGAGTTTTCTATTGTAAGCACATCATAATGGTATCTATTTTCCACGTAAACTACTGACCCTGAACAATAATTTGCAACATTAAGATGCTATGGCTGGCTGATTCAATGTATTCCAAATAATGCAAATAATTTGAGAATACCTTCCATTTATAACTTTAAAAAAAAACATGTTTGTTTTTTTTTAAATATGTGAAAACACCCTCAAAAACCCTACAAAACCCTGTTCCATGGGAGATTTCATAGCCATTAGGGCTGGAAGGGACCTCGGAAG